ATATATATGTTACGGATAAAGTGTTTACTTGGTTAGTTTATAGACTATAGCTGAATAGTATGTAAACTATACAAACGTGTGATTATTTTGATGTAAAATCATCGTTTCGCTTTTTTGTTTGTAAACTATCCAGATTGTATATCTTGTTTATGCCTTCCATTTTCTATAAATTAATTTGACAAAAGAGGGGCGCTGCTTTGAGGTCTTTTATTTAAAATTTTTCAGTTGCTAAATAAAACCATTGAATAAAAACACTATTTTTATTCAATGATAAAACCCATCGGTTTTTTTATATTCGTTATCTTTACAAAACAAGAAAGGTGATAAACAAATTCAAAACAAGTTGATTCTTCTCAGCTTTCTTGTTATTGTTTGTGAATTGTGAGTAGGTTTGCTATGTGTGTGCGTGGATGTTAAGTTAAATTTCCAAACACAAATGATAATATAAAGAAATAAAAACGTAATACACTATCTTCTGCACACGCTGATAAAAGATAAAATTCTACACATTTACGATTGTTAAACTCTCTTTAATTATTGTTTGTGATGTTACAGTTTCAGGCAGTGGCGTCATGGACTTTATTTTTTTTTCATCAGGAATCAGGTCTGACAAATATTCTAGCTAATAAATAACACTATCCTAGGATTCCTACCCACAAAATAAAGAAATTTAAATAAAATAGTTAAAACCCTCAAAATTTAAGTGAAACTGAAGACAGTTTGGCGTTCCTTTGAAGATGGCTTACGCACATATCACACCAAAACACAAGCGCCACCTTCATGTAGCAATGAGATTTTTGCAAGCAACCCCATGGCCCATTTTAAAAGATGCTAGACGATAGCCAAATTGTACTTTTTTGCGATTTATACTGAGGGATGTTTGTTTTTGCAAATTAACTCTTTGGTATGGTTGAAGTGTTGATTGATAAATATATATCAATCAACGGTTGTGGTCAGGTTAACAATCTAGATCAATAAAAAAAATGAGCATTTTTGTATACCAATTTATTGCAAAGCAGAAATAATGTTGAAAAATATAAATGAATAATTAATGCCGCACGCGTGTATTTTTCTATAATTTATTAGAAGGTGAAAAACAAGAGAAAACTGTCGCCATTTACCTACATTATTATTACATCACGCTTTAGTTGATAAGTAAGATATTACAAAGCAGGCAGTTAATTAAATCTCGTAAACTAAAACTGGATGGTAGCTATACTAAAATATCATACGAGAAGGCTAAAGTAGTTGGTAATCCAAAAGCGTGCAACAATGCAATGTTACGGAGTAAAGGAGCTCTTTGTATGCAAATGACGTTCAAAAGAAGCTTATCTGGGCTTCCCCACGCCGAATTTATAAAGAATTATTATACACGCCCTATATATGTGTAGCTATTTCGCAGATGAATATATGCAATTTAACAAATGATTTCAAATTGCGCTCCCGCATGTAATTGCTTGGTGGAAGTTATTCAAAGAGATGAAATAACTAACACTTGAATAGCAATGAATGTGCCGATCAATCAATAAATCTAACTGCACCTGCAATTATAAAATAAAGCTGTATAGGCATTTGCGTCATATTTTTTTATTAAACTTGACACTTGAATGTATAATTAAAATAAATACGTGCATTAAATATGCAAAAGGAACGTGTTTTCTGTCGGAACGTTGTAGGTACTCGCACTTACGTTACTGAAATAAAAATGGTCAAGGTTTTTGAGACTGCAATATTTACTGATCATAACTACTCGGTGTCGATTTTAAAAGTAAGATTGATCAACTAATTAGCTTCATTGTCTAATATGATTTAAAATGCAAAGCAAAATTACAAAACAAAATATTAAATGAAAAAACCGTAAGAACTACTGTTTTAATTTTTCATGCTTTACAGTCGGTTATGTTCGGTTCGGTTAAATATAATTTCCAAGGTTCAGGTTGTTCAATTCGCCAGATGAACCTGATTTTCCGGCTTATTCCTATTATTTTGCAAAAACGCGAAATTTATGTGAATGCATTGCCACCATAGCCATGTTGATTCAGCAAGATACTACCTGTGGATAATTCTTTGCGAAATGAATGTAAAACTTTCGATTTTGAAATTTTTCTTGTAAATGAATGTAAACGTATAGTCTGAGTGACAAGTCATAGTTTTTTCTTCTCTATCTCATTCCGTAAAAATCCAATATGGCGCCCATAAGAAATAAGAAAGTAGTAGGTTGTAGCTTCTACATCTAGCGTGCTATGGAAATTCTGATAACAGATTCAAATTCTACGAAAAAAAGTTTTTCGGTAATATCTCAGTTAATTTCAAAGATTTTCCAAAAATTTCAAATACATTTTTTAGTCACAAAAAAGAAGCAACTTTGCCCCCATTTAACCTACATGTCTATTATCGTTACGGAGACCCCGATGGTGAGCCACAAATTTGAACCACCCTGTACATGTAGGATAGTATAATGTACCATGCCCTATTGAGAGAGTGATCATCCATTAGGCAAACTTATTTGCGGAGGAAAAAAAATAAGACATAAATACATCTTGGTGGCCCGTCGAAATCAAGACTATGTTATGTCGCGAAAATCTGGTGAAGAAAATGTTCATCAGGTTTGGTATTTCAATGGCATTAACACAATAACCAACAGAACAAATGTTTGATATAAAAGTAGCATTTAACATCTTTTAATCAATATACAGCTGTTTATCAAATGCGCATAAAATGTACATGCTCATTCGGAATTAGCCTCAACCCCAACCTTAAATTAGTGTATCATTTGGGTATTACATTTTTAACCTATCTCGCAGTAGGAGTGTTATTCAGTGGTTGCAGATCTACGAATTTTAACGGGAGCCCGTTTATGTAATTTTTTGATTCGAGTATTTTTTTTAGACGCGTAGTGAATAATCCCACCGAAACGCACTCAGTGACAACGCCAAAGCAACCATAGCGCTTCAATTTGGAAGGGTGTCTGACCTCTATCTTTACCGATTATGACTTATTTGTCGATTGTGATGATTTTATAATATAGTAGTCTCACACATAGTACTACCAGAGGGCAAGTCAGAGAACTACTCTGCAGCTTTGGAATCGTGTTACAAGGGGAGTTGGGTACTCGTAATTTTTTAAGGATTTATGTGTAGGCCACCAGGAGTTGTGAAGATCCTGCCACCGTAGGTGATGTAGTAGTAGTTTAAAAATTCAAATGGTCCCGGTGCATTTTAATAGGATGATGTTTATGAGTATTAGGTTACCTCTAAGTTCTTCAAACAGTGTCGCTTTCAGCAATCAGAATAACGTTCGGGTAGTTTCTGCCTACGTTTTAAGTCCAGCACTTCTTGTCTGGGTATCTAGGAAAGTGGGAACCCTAGGTACGGCTTCTTGTTCCTTAAATATGGTCCTGATTTTTGAAATGCGTTTGAAAGTTTAAGGCGCCGGTGATTCGTGGAATATAGTGTTTCAGATTCCAGGAAAGATTTTGTTTATTTTGTCGTCGTTGCTGCGTCATATAGGCTTTGTGGAGTAAGCGTGAAATTACCCCACCATTTATGGTCATCAAGCAATCTCATTGTATGCCTAAAATTAGTTTAGCGATGACTTTTGCGTTACGGGATGAGTGTCAATAAAAAAAGTAAAGTAGTGGGAAGCCGGTTGTTCTGGAGGAAACGACCGGGAATAAGTTAAGTCAACCTAACCACCACCTCTAAATGACCATGAGGTGTATTTTATTTGTAAAAATAGAATTCGCTCCTAGAACTAGAAGTAAGGAAACTATTACGGTAAATAAAAACAATTGTGGGAGTTTTAAACGTACAAAATTGAAATCTTGTGACCCTATTTGCGAACACTGGCAACAGCATAAATTTAAAAGCGTAAAAAATTATATTTATTTATTTATTATCCCTCTCTTGTTCTGGGCCCTCAACAGGCTTGCGCCCAATTACAGAGTGACCCGCATAATGCTTTTTAGAGGTGCCTCTGCAATCAACTAATTATTTTAAACGTCTAAAGCGGTCGATTGAACGAAAATAATATTTCTTATACGAAATCATCGCATCCCCTAAATTTGAGCAACCGCAACTTGAACTGTCAGCCAAAGGAGCCATTCATTATACAAGACCTTTTAGGAACTGTACTTTTCAATCATTTGGATCAATCTACTGGATCAATCAGTACTTCGTATTAACGATCATGGTATATTGACATTACTATAATTGCTGTATAATTACGGTAACCATATTCAAAATAGTAACAAATTCCTTTATGAGTATTGGATTAGTTTTATTTTAATTGAATAGTAATGGAGAACTCTTAAAGATTCGCTCATTTACTTGAACCGATTTGGAAAATCAAAAGTTTTATACATGTGAGGACCCATCTAGAGAAAGGTAAAGTTTCTCATTTCAATGTACTACTACGTAACGAGAATCATTCAGCTTGGTTCAATTTACTTAGTACCACCTCAGTACTCGAATTTGTCATAATCATAACATTAACATTATACTTTGCAAGGTCTGGATGTGAATGCAGACTTTCATTTTTTTGAATATGAAATTGTATATTTTTAAATTTTGATTTTTGTCATTATTTACAATCACGTGATTCTCTTGCTCCATTCTGTTGGGAAAAAATTGTTTAAAAAATTTCGATATTTGTATTGAGCTATAGCCGTCGCGTCGCTGTCGGGTCGGCTAAATTTTGCAAGAAAGTAACATTATTTTTCTGAAACTACTCTGGCAATAACTACTTTCGTCTCTAAAACGGGTGAAGAAAATGTGATTTTCCTCTCTAGTGAGGAAAGCAAAAAAACAATTGCTGCGCTAATCTTAATAATGACATTAAAAATTGAAACATACCCGTATCTAGCTAGAATTGCTATGTATCAAATTTCATTATTATATACGATAATTTTTCGACTTTGATAGTAGTTTCAGAAATAATTATGTGTACAACTTAGGAAGAACGCGAGGAAGAAAGTGTTTTTCAACTCTCGTCTAATAGGGTGTTTTCAATATATTCGTACTAACCTAATTTGTACTGTATTTTATACATAAAGGTGAGCGTAACGGTATGCGCTCATTAAAAAACGATATATTTAAGTATTTATAATGCAATAAGACTTAGAAAACTCATTAAAACCAACAATTTCAAAGGGAAATCTAAACGCAATTTCATTGGTCAATGCGATGTGACGTCTCACCGTATATAAATGGCGGATTGTTTACCTTTTCACCTTGGTAGATAGTGTTGTGTCGTATGTTTAAATTATATTGCGGGATTGTTTCGTGGATTATAAACTTGAAATGTCTTCAGAGAACTTTGTGAAAGCGTCCTCAAACAATTTGCCATCCGTAGACATTTTTATGGTGATGGAATTTATAAAAGAAGATGATCGTTTTAATGCAGCTGAATTCAGAAATGTGAAGGCAACAACGTAAGTAAATATTGTGATAAATTATCGCGAAATGCGTTTCTTTAAGATGGTTTAAGTAATGTACAAACAGTTGGATGGTGTTAAGTAGTTAATTTTATTAATTTTTTCACGTCACGTTAATTAGAGGTTAAGTTCTTAAACAAAAATAAATTTAGTTAGGGTTCAGTAGAGTGCAATCTAAATCCAAATAGTTTAAGAATGTCACGTTTCTTAACTCTAAATCTAAAGTAATGTTTCAAAAACAGAGCAACTCGTGAGGCATATGGTGATAACGCCATTGGATATGTGGAATTGAAGAGGGAGGGCCCTTTGTGCACTTTACAGTGCAAAATATGCCCAGAACACAGAGTCCGTTCGAAGAATTATGCCGTATCTTTAATTGTCGATGAGGAGGAAGAAAAAATAGTAAATGTAATCTGCAAAGATTGTGCGGCTGCGGCAGGTAATTTGTTATCTATAAAATTATGCTGAGTAGCTCTTTAATAACAATTTTTATAGGCCATACATTTTTAAACATGCACAATGTTAGGTAGTCATTGATAGTAATAAAAACAATCTATATAAACATAAATTCACTGCAGAAAACAAATCAAAACCGTAGAACGCGTGCTGTTTATAATGACAGTTCCAGTGTTTACATGCACTGTGACGTAGTTGAGAACAGGTGACCGTACAAACGCGCGGCTGTCCGTTTACGCGGCAAATTTCTGATTTCGAATTTTATTTTGAAATTACTCGAAAATGAAGGCTCGGATATTTTTTTAAAATGTGTAGCTCGTTTATACGGCCAATGGGCTTTCGTTTTGTCCAGTTTTTAAAAAATGTGAAAACACCCTATTGACACATACCCGCTACGCTCATGTGTCAAACTTTGTACATGAAAAACTCACATTTTCCTCTGTAGTTGTACCTATCTTTATATCATTTGAAAATAAAACAAGAACTCCTGGTTCGTGAACCTTGAAACGTGAAAACCTTTCAGAATATATTAATTTATTTTAGTTTTGAGCAGGTTTTGTGGAAGCAAAGTGAAATGTTAAATAGTTATCCTCGTCTCTGTAGCAAAACAAGATTTATAACCACACCTAATTTAAGGGCAATAGTAGGAAGGGTTGTCACATATTTTTCTCTGACAGGTTTACCACTTTAACCTTCACTTAGAAGTGTGGGTCTCAATGAATATACCAACAAAGCGAGTGTTTTAAATAAAAAAAATGCTTATTACAATAATCGTACCTATAGATGGACCTATTTTGATTATACAGGATGAGGATTAAGTTAAATGGCCTCTGTTTAGCTGCAAGAAATGCGCTAACATGTGGTCTTTTAAAAATCGATAGATTTCAGTTTTTCTTAATAATTCCTAATCATATTTGAAATGTTAAATTTCCTGTACCGAATTGTTTTAATTACCTATCTATAGTATACATATCAGATCTGTTACAAAAAGTAATTGCTGAAATAAACGGATGGCCAATAATGTCTAAAATTGCAACTTCTGCCAACAACAGTAATTGTTTAATGAGGTACCTATCTGCAATTCATCTAGTATTATTTATTTGTTTTAGTTTATTATTTTTTTAGAACATATTGTTATTTTTTGTCTGTTTTTGTGTATATCCAATGATGAACGTGGAAATAAAAGTATCTATCTATCATATCTATCTTTTTAGAGTAGAATATGGTGAAATACCCACACTGCATGGAAACGGTTGCACATAATTAATTATAGAATTCCCATCAGTAATGGGCCATGACACAAAACAGGGACGAAGATAATTGTTTTTCATACAATTTTCTCTTCAATCAACACAAAAAAATGGATTTTACGGTCAGACATATATAGGTATACTGTAATATGCACAAAGCTGTTCTAGCACGCAATGCGGGTGTATTTGAGCTATTTGGGATAAAGTTTTAGTCAAGCGAATTGTTAACCCTAGGTTTAACCCATTATACGTCAGAACGGAATGGTAAATAGATTGTCATTTGCAAAACCTGAGCCGTTATGCGAATGCAGTCGCCGATAAAACGGTTCCTTTGTTCGTTTCAACAATTGGCAAAATTAGTTTCCAACGAGTCACAAGATTTATTTAATGCGTGCTCAGTGTGGCGTCATTACCTAGAAAGTTATAAAATTTCGGTAATTACAGCGATCATTACAGGAAAAAAAGACAACCGGTAATTTATCCTCAACTCCTCGTCATGTATTAAAATGAAGTTATAGACAATATACCGCGACCTTGAGTGATTTAGATGGTGAATGTGCTCAACTTAAATTGAAAACAACTGCAGAGGCCTCTGGGACAGAACGGTTGTTTCAAGAGGAAATTCATTTTCTTTCACAACGTGCAAACAGATTTTAAGCATTAACGATGCAAGAGATACGCCCAGTAGTGTAGGATGTTGTAAGGAAGGACGATCAGGTCATTCAGGTTACTGACATAACGAGAACTTTTCTACACTATTGCTTTGTGTATACGTAATTTTTAGATGAGTAGTTCTACTTTAAGAATCCATTTTTGTTGCTGTCATGCTGACAAACCGCTGGAACGCGGCCAACTGCTTCCAAATTATAAACAAATTAAACAAAAAAAGCTTAGAATGTACTATAGATTGCAAAAAGTGCAGAAACCTTTCAAATCAAGTAGGCGTAATTGATTATAGAGTGATTTATGAGATAATCTGCTATTTTTCAAACAATTTTTATTCGTAGGTAACTTGCAAATCGAATGATATCGAATTACAAAAAAATTAATTAATGTTTAACTAACGTAAACACTGTCATTGAGAAGGGAAGAAATGAGAGCAACGGTAGCAACGGAGTTGCCAAGCAACCGTCGTGGGGTTTGAAGGCGGCGCCGGCATCGGTCTCAGCTGTAGGGTGGAATCGCATAGTAGCGGATGTGTGGGTTTGCAATATATGACACAGCAAGCGTCGCCATGGAGACGGCTCAAGCGGGACGCGCGTCGCCTGGATGTTTGTGCGGCGAAAATCAGGCGACCTCCTTACGCCCTTTGATTTGATGCGATCTAATTCCACCACATTCGGTTTCCCTGCACGGACTCAAGCTTACCAAAGAAAAAAAATTTTTAACAAGCCAGTTTGTAATTTTCTGTATTTGGCAAACGAAAATCAGACCTCGCCGACTTCTATTTCTGCTACTCCACGTCCTATTTAGATTACATCTTCCCCATACAAAGAACGACCTTTTTGTTTTGTAATTTATTTCGATGTAAACACTGTCTGCTCTCTTAGGAAGGATCAAATTAGGCTAATTTAGTCAGTTTATTATTATCCTCTCGTTATGCCATTCCATCATAAAAATACGCAAATCCATAAAAGCACAAATCAATACATTTTCAGTCCTTCACTCTGCATGCGAAACCGTTACATAAATAAACATTTAAAAATGAAATATAAAGACTGGCTAGACGAAAAGGTAATTTTGCTTTGTACATGAAAGATTCAGCACATGGCAGACGTTCTATTCAAATGGAAATGCCTAGCGTTAGAAAAAATTACGTTAATATTTCAAGCACATAATCAGTCTTATTCTCGTGGCATTGTTATTTTAGCAAATTTGCTACGTTTAACGAATTTGTTAAGTCGCGTTTAACAAATTGTTAAGTCGTTTTGTTCGTTTGCAATTCTGGTGGCACTTTGCTAGAAGCGAGTTAACAAATAAGCGCGTGGCTACGGTTTTGCTACGCCATACCACATGAATGTAGCCGTTTCTTGTCCGTATATTCCGAAAATACGCACAAATAGTTCGAAAAACATTTTCTTTTTGAAAGAACTCCAAGAAATTGCAGCAGCCCTGAATAAATTAACTAACTGCTGTTCTCCACGACATAGTACATAGCTGCAATTTGGAGCCGAAATAGTTGAATTCGCCTAAAATTATTTGTAAATTTTTATATTTTTTAGTTATCGTTACTATTATTCTTCACGCTTACCTACTCTTATCTCGTTTGATATGTTTTATGAGTTTATTTTATTTTATTAACTTGTTCTTTTCGGACTTTCATTTTTTAATTCAAGATAAAACAACTTGCTTGCAATATCAAGAATATCTGCTTTTCTGCAGAAAAAGCGGCTGTTTGAGGCAAATATTAAGAAAGATGTTCCTTCCAAAAATGATTTGTAGGAAGCACTCGCCTTGGACCTCAATAATCTCGATGGTAGATAGAGATTGGTGCTTATACCTTCGTCCCTATCCATGACTCGTGACTCATGAGCATTTGAATCAGCAGTAATATCCTAAAATTTTGGGTGAAAAATTGACTTGAAGTATTTCTTCGTAGCAAAACAATTTGACGAAAAATCACAAAATTTAATCAGCCATTTTTAAGCACACGGGATATTCCGCATGGTTATTTCCAGAATAAATACCTATTCACAGCGGTTTTAGTATTCGCGAAACAATTTGCACCAAAACTGGACATCGCGGAAGAGAAGTGCATTCGAAATTAGCACATTAGGCAGACAGTTTCGACTCTTCGTATCTAAGCAACCGCAAGTTTGTGGTTCGTCTAAGTACCTTAATAGGGAAAATCAGAAGCGATACAATTTTAACACATTTTTAACCGCGGTAAAATTTTGACGTTTGCGAATTAATTGTTGAAGTATGGACATGTAACCATATCAATTCTAATTCTTTTATTACATGCAGGAAATAATCATATATAATACCATAAGTAGTCGAAGTATTGTCGAATATTTTTGAGGTGCTGTCACGAATGCTAGTTACGCTGATTAATACCACGAGCGCTTGCGCGAGTGGAATTAAAAAGCGTAACTAGCATGAGTGGAGCAGCAGCTCAAAAATAATCTACAAATACTTCGACTACGAATGGTATTCGGAGGACTATTCAATGAATCAAAAGAAAAATTAAGCATAATTACCCACGCGAATGAATTTCCATGACAACAATAAACGTCAAAATAAATTATGGAAGTTGCTTTTCATTTTGCTATTGATTCTATTCGAACTTTTGTGCTCCAAGCTAATTCGTTATGAGTGATTAAATTAAAAGATGTGGGGATAAGTCGGTTGTCGAAATTGATTAACAAACTAAGAAGAATGTTCCGGTTAATACGACAAAATTTCGCGTCATTTCACTGGTGGAAGTTTGACAAATGTCATTGAAAATAATCACATTGAATTGTCACTTATAATTGCACAAGAGGTTTGTATTTTACCGAGTAAATTTGGGTTGTTTAGGTAATGAAAATCTGTTGCCTAGGAATTAGACGAGAAAAACTGTCAACTAATAAAAATGCGACACCGCAGGTGGAGCATTTTTAGGTTGACAGTTTTTCGAGTTCAATTGCTAAAAGGAAACAGATTTGAGTTGCAACAACCCAAATTTACTCGGTTTAAATACAAACCTCGAGTGTAATTCGGCAGGACAATTTAACGAACAAGAAATTCACATAACTAATCAATTACTGACAGACGTCAAACTAGTCATATGGGAAAGGATAATGCGATAATTGGTTCGAAAATGAATAAGTGAAAAAACCACTAGTGCATTTGTCGCTGGAAAAGTTGCAGGTAACGTTTGCCGCTGTCAAAGTGACAATTTCACTGCGGCTTATGCGATTTTTTATACATGAGTTGAATTGTCGCTGAAATACCACACGTGCAATTATCATATATAATACCATAAGTAGTCGAAGTATTGTCGAATATTTTTGAGGTGCTGTCACGAATGCTAGTTACGCTGATTAGCGTAGTGCGCTCGTGGTATTAAAAAGCGTAACTAGCATGAGTGGAGCAGCAGCTCAAAAATAATCTACAAATACTTCGACTCCGAATGGTATTCGGAGGACTATTCAATGAATTAAAAATTTCCATGACAACAATAAACGTCAAAATAAATTATGGAAGTTGCTTTTCATTTTGCTATTGATTCTATTCGAACTTTTGTGCTCCAAGCTAAATCGTTATGAGTGATTAAATTAAAAGATGTGGTGATAAGTCGGTTGTCGAAATTGATTAACAAACTAAGAAGAATGTTCCGGTTAATACGACAAAATTTCGCGACATTTCAGTGGTGGAAGTTTGACAAATGTCATTGAATAATCGCATTGAATTGTCGCTGAAATACCACACGTGAAATTATCGCTGAAATACCATACGTGCAATTATCACTATAATTCGTTCCCATTGGCGCAGCAATTTGAAATCGAGACATTTCACTGGTTGAAATGTGACAAATGTTAGATGAATTGAATAGTCACTATAATTCGTTCCCATTGGCGCAACAATTTGAAATCGAGACATTTCACTGGTTGAAATGTGACAAATGTCTGTAAAATATCGTGATCTGTAGCCGTAGTGTGAGTTATTTCACGTTAACAAAGTGCCAACGCCAATTCAGAAATGGCGTAAGAATCGTAGCAATTTTGCTAGGCATCTTGTTACGCTAACCAAACAAAACGGTTACCAGAATACCAATT